ACGCTTTACAGTTACAGTGGATATATTTATTTTACAGATAAGGAGTCAGTGGTAGACAGACGCATGGAGTCAACAGCATGGATGGCTGGAGGGAAGGGAGTTCCAGACCATGTGGGCAGCAGAGGAGAATGAGCAACCTCCCACGTCCAGAAATAACAATTTGCCACCACTTTCAGTGCCGCATTATCTCACACCAAAACCGTGCTGAACTCCAAAGGGACACTGCTAATGCTAAGGTTTCCAAGCCAACATCGACATCCCGGACACTCGTTTTTCAAGAAAGCTCTCATATGGAGTGCAGGCCTCTTTGCTAAAGGTCACAGCCTCGCATTGACTCCTCGTAGTCGCTTCGTCAATATTCTCACATTCTTAAAGAGGCCTCAAAAGTATACAGGAGAGCCGATAGGCAACTTATTGTTATGTAAGTGAAATATTACTTTCCGTCCAAGGGAACTTTGTCTTTACAATGACTACAAAACCATTCTCTATAAAATGTACAACAGGACCACAAGTAAAGAATAAAATGTTAAATTGTATACCGTACACGGCACCCAAACTAGTTCAAGCTAATAACCTAACCTATCGCTGATAAACTATTAAACAGAACCCGTTTGCAAAAACAAAACATACAGTTTCACTAAGATTAGACTGCCGTGATGCACCCACACGTCTTGCCTGTTGTGCCGATGCTTTCTGCATTCATGCTTCTTTTTTTCCCCTCCTGCGCTAGGAAATACAATTCTGGTCGCAACCGTAGTCTCACGGCGCAGCCCAACATTCCGAGGTCCTCAGCACAGCACGCGAAGCCGTTTGCCAAGACATGTGGCAGTTTGCGCAACGCATGGATTCGCCGGGTCAAGCGAGGCAGCTGGGAATGGCTGCCGCTGCAGCGGGCGTGGGGAGTTTACCATCGCACGTATATATGCGGCACAGCCTGCACACACCTGCGAGGAACAACAAAAATTGGAGGGTAGGGATGGGTCAAATTATTTTTTTCAAATGTAGGCCATGGTGGCAAGATGTTAACTATCTTGCCTGGTATCCAGGAGATTGTGGGTTCGATCTCGATCCTGACGCCTGTATATTTAGAGTTTGCATGTTCTCCCCGTGGTAGTGTGGATTTTTCTCCTTGTCCTCTGGTTTTTTCCTCTACATTTAGAAACTCGAGTTGAATACATTTGGCTGCTGTTAATTTCCACATGATACATTTGTGGCCAGGTCGCTTCTGAAAAAGTAATATAGAGGTCATTGGGCCTTACCCATAGTTTTAGTACAACTCCTCCACCAATCCGCTTGTGGATGAAGGCCTCTCTTCTCCACGCCGGGGTCAGCCATGGGAATCGTTTGATCATACTACACCACGTTGGTCTGTGCAGATTGGTGACCCAATTGGAGGAGCCCAGGACCAATTCGTATATCATTCAGGTTGTGGAGTTCATAGTGCACTGCGCCATCCATCTCTCTGCCTCCACCCCCCCCGGGGGCGGTACGGAGAGGAATTTGCGCTAACCTAAAACGACTGCACCTGCAAACTATGCGATTGTTCCACGCAGTTCTGATCAAAGCCAATAAACACTGGTGTGCAAATTCACACACCCGAGTATATAAATCTGCTGTGCCTATGCCTTCTGCGTATCATCCAGTTTTGTTTCCCTGCTGCGCTAGAAAACACAATTCTGGATGCAAACACAGCTTACACGCAAGCCCGCAATGAGAAGGTTCTCTACACAGCGTGTGAATCCGTTTGCCTGTTTCCCTGCTGCGCTAGGAAACACAATTCTGGATGCAAACACAGCTTACACGCAAGCCCGCAATGAGAAGGTTCTCTACACAGCGTGTGAATCCGTTTGCCTGTTTCCCTGCTGCGCTAGGAAACACAATTCTGGATGCAAACACAGCTTACACGCAAGCCCGCAATGAGAAGGTTCTCTACACAGCGTGTGAATCCGTTTGCCCAGACATCTGGCAATTTGCCCAACGTGTGGATTAACTGCAGTGACATGGCTGAGCAGTCGCGCTTGTTGCAGGGGTACGTAGTTCGAATACAGCAGCTGTCCTGCTTTTTACTATGTTGTATATCAACCAAAAATGATACACCATCTGTTTTACAGTGGCAAGTGGGCCATTGTGTGCTGGCAGCATGGTCCACATTTTTTTAAGTTACCCACATATTACTCAAATGGATAAATACAAAGTATCAATCGCCCTCTACTGCAAACATTTGGAAGACAATGCTGAAAAAAGTCATGAGGATCAGGTGAGGTTTTCCTGGGTAAACACATGTAATGAATAATAAGTTGGTTTAAGTGACTTCCTATGAAGACTACAAACATTTTAAATGATCATGAAGTTCAACGTAAATAAAAAATTACGTCAAAATTGTTCATTTGTTCCATTTTATAAATTTGCCAGTGTGTTTTAATAGTAATATGCAAGTATGATGATGATTAACATTGATAAGTGTACATTTGTGTCTGTAGGTGGGTAAATGTTCCTGCTGCCCACGAGTACCTGGTGCAATGTGCAAACTGGTGAGACAAAGGCGGCCGGACGTGGTGCTGGCCACCCACCTCCTCGTGTGCCGTGCCTTCAGAGGTGCTCACTCACAGCACTTGCCCCAAAAAGTCAGTGAAGGCTATACGGGGAATCTTCGCCTTTGTTGCGTATGCGTGCGAGTATGTGCGTGCGTTTTTTCAAGATTGTGTTTTTGTGCATGAAATGCTTAAATAACTGTGCGCTTCCACATGCTTTAATTAACTCGGTTGTTGTTTGTGTGATATGTATATTTTGGCATGATAATGCATTTGTATCTCTAATACACACCGGCAAAGTCACTGGAGACAAACCTGAGACAGGACTTGTTTCACAAGAGTCTAAACATGGATAAGAATTTTCTGTATCTCTGGAGATGGAGTGAGAAAGAGCGATGAAATTAGCCTGTGCGCATGTGCTGGGTGGTTTGTGGCATGGAGACGGGTTAAGGAGGCCTCTATCCAGCAGGGGATTGATAACAAACATGTAGCAGATTGCTATGTTTATCCACAACAAACATATATTCTGAGTAAACCATCTGATGTAAATGCAATTAGTGCTGACGTGTTCATAATTGGAAGATTATTCTGAACAAATGCCCAATTGATCAGATTGCAAGAGCTGTTGAACTAAATTGAACTGTGTTCATGACACAATGTCAGGATGGGCATAACTGGTCGCCAAACCGATATCCCTCATTTGCACCGCTCTCTGAAAAGGGGTGCGAGGGATCGAAGGTCAAAAGAAGTGGTAAGTAACGGGTGGGCCTTTATAACCATTATGTTTCCATGGCAACATAACATTCAGACTTAACTTCTTATGGAAGGGGCATTTCCCTAGGAGATACGAGAACCATATGGGGCTTTCCTTCAGCTATTGCAAACAAGCGAAGATCATTTTTGTCACAGGTCTGTGCACAGTGTAAGTATGTATGTTGGACTTATTTCGCACAATACGTAGCCAACCGTGCTAACCAGAGGTGCGGCGGAAGGACAACAAATTAAACACAATAATCAGTTCTAAAGAAATGAGTTTTCAATCTAGATTTAAAAGTGCATAGCTCCAGTGGCTTCCATCTTATCGGAAGGAATAGACGCATGCAGCACAGCATTTTGGAGACAAGGGTTGGTGGATCACGTGGATTTTTCAAACTCAATAACCCGCTGGGGTCGACAAGGTGACTAACAGATAGGACTATATCATATATAGATAAACTCATCTGCGTGGACCTGTTTGATTGATATCCCCGCATATGAGTTTAGTTTTCTACAGGCGCCCCAGATTCCTCTGAATCTGCTTGACCGTCCGGACAGAGACGTCTTGTTCCTTCTTCGAGTCTCTCGTGAACATATCGCATAATGGTCATACAGCCCTCGTGTAAGACTTATAGTTTTAAAACACTTAGTAATGTACTGATTAAATCTATCCATAGCTGAAAAGACCTCTTTGTTCATAAACCTTTGAGTGTATAGGCATATAATGAACGCAGCCCTTGTGATATTAAGGCTAAACGTTTTCGGTGTCCTGGTGAATTTAAAGGAAAGAACTCAAAGCGCAAACAGCTCGTCTCTGATAGATACACACCGTAAGGAAACGCTTCATCGAGATTGTAAAGGCAATTTTCTCGTTGGAGATCTCTCAAACTCACCGTCAAGTGAACTGGAACGCCCAGCCAAGGTACACATCTAAGGCATCGGCACTATTTGTTAAAAGAGTCGACAAGCTCATTATTGTCACGCCCTGAAACTTTACAGCTGTCTCTCCGTTCATCCAAGGACACGGTTGTGTGTTTTCAGGGAAACTACAGAACCGCTAAACCAATCACTACCGAATTTACTATACAGCTTATGCACAGATGTGAAGCGTTATTGGTAAATATTTACCAATGCTTTAGCAAACAATGATAATTATCTAATCTGGCACGACGATGGTGTGGGCGGAAACTCACAAGACATGAGTGTGGATGCCTTACACACACCCACAGGGACGTCTTTCACTCGGAGGACAGTGTGGCCTGATCCGCCAGAGAAGGAACTATCACTCACTTGCAAGAGCGTGAAACTAATGTTGTAACTTGTGTGTGTACACGTGTCCATACGCATCAATTTGTTACGTGTGTTAGCGCGACCTTAACACCCCAGCAAAATAAGGCTTCCTAAATATTCTGGCTTGCCAGCTTGTTTATTATTATTTTTTTGGTGTCGTACCTTCCTTTACAAGCCCTCTAGATATATCATTGGGTTGGCGAATATTGTACCACACAATAGCAGAAGAGGAGACCACTACAAGGACATGAATTGTCTTGCGTGCTGTATTGTCACACAACTGACAATCATTATTTTTTCGATGCAATTAAATGATGAAAGAGACGCTGTTGGAAAGCTGAAGCCTTGCAAAGAGGACGATGCTGGGAAAACCAGGCAGAGGCAGCGACCGCTGCTGCGAGGGGGCAGACACGTGTGACTCACCAGGCTTGCGGTGAGTGATGGCGCCGACTGGCCCAGCGCCTGGTTCCTCATGCGCACCAGGTTGGAGGAGGAGCCGCCACCGCCGACGCCGCCACCGCCGCCTGCATCCGAGTGCTGCGCATGCAGCTGGTGGTAGCCCCAGTAGGGATGCCCTGTCGCCCCTCCATGGCTGCTCACCGACACGGGCAGCAGGAATTTGCCTGCGCAGCACGCAATGACAGCAGCGGCAGCCGGAGCAGCAGCCGAATGGTTACTGAACGTCTTTAATGCTTTAAATTTTTACCAAAGTCGTAGCCAAGTGATGTGATGTTTCGGGTACCGCACGTTGTTCGGCACGACGTCCGACGTCTCACTTAAAGTGCCGGGAGCTTCTTGGATAAATGAATTCCCAGCACGTGGGCTGAAACGTCGGACATCGTGCCCAACAACACCGTGGTATACCCTCAAAGCACGTTAGGGCTACACAGGACAACCATGTAAACCTACGTGGTAACATGATGCAAATCATATTCGAGGATAACAAATTCACAAAATGATGGAATATATGTGGCCGAGGGGGAAAGTGAAGAACACACATCAGAGTATGTAAACCTCAGGCAGATCTTGAAGATAGAATAGGATGGAAATTATTAAATAAAGAGGCTGACAAATGCAGGTTGGAATGCTTTTGAGAAACTGAACTTAAGAATTAAAAGCATTATTCCAATGTGCCAAATGCTATTACACGTGGATCCAAAACAGACATTTCCCAAGAAATATAACAAAAGGTTAAAAGCGTGCAAAGAAGCTTGGAATTACACTGAGAAAGAAGGGAATAAGAACACATGGACTTGAGACACCACATTGATCCAAGGGTTATAAGTGGGCAGGACACACGCCGCCCAAGGACATCTACCACGGAGTTTTCATAGTTTAGTTTCATAGTTTCATTTATTTGGTATAGCCCTGTGAGCCATTCGGCTCTTGAATCGGGTGCAACCGCAACAAACAAAAAAAACAAAAACATGAACAAGAAAAACATCTTAAAGTGACTATGTGTTGACTGTGCAAACAGAAAATCCAGGAAAAAACATCTAAATATTCCTGAAATAGCACTGTACACCAACGCTGTGTGCAAAAATCCCAGTGGGATGCAAGGCAAACAACAACAAAACTTAGATTAAGGCCATCAGTCTAACTCCGTACTACAATAAACAAAAACATGGCCAAACTAAAAAACTTTCAGAAATCACCAAAATAAAGCCAGCCATAAATGCAATGTAACAGTGATCATAGGGACTTGGACCGAAATGGAACCGATGCCATCAGTGCATGTGCAGGTGCCAGACGGATTGTTGAATGGCAAGACTGTGAGAGAGAGCAATGGCCTTGATCCAGCAGTGGACAGATCAGAGCTGCCGATACGTTGCCTGAATGGCAGTTTTGGCTTGGGTGTTTGACTTGGAATGGGAAGGCCGCAGGCTAAAATTACCAGTCATGGATCAAATTAGCCTGTCATCCCGCTGGGGATCATAAAATCAAAATAAGACTGTATTTCTCCAGGTGAGAAGCCACCGAGTCTTTATTGAAAGAATGGCCTGGGTCAATAAATAACGGCAGTTCATTTACAGATCTCGAGCACAGTGCTGGGACAGATCAGAGAAAAACACGACCGTAAAAGCATGCAAAACTTAACGAAAAGGTTGAAAGTATGTCATGCCACAGAAGTAACAAAACCATCATATAATCATAAACCGAGGGTAAAATGTGATAAAGAAAACACATCAAAGCATTTCAAAACGTCTCCCAGAACACAATTTGGATTTATATACCGTTCAAATGCAATCGCATCGCAAAGACATTCGGCTTCAAAGTGGAACATGGGCATCAAGGAGAAAAATGGACATCTATTTGACATAAGGAGGGACACAACACACACAAAACACCGCCATGAAATAACTGAGTGCAATTGCACTCAGTCTTTCCAAAGCATCCCATTTGTCACAGAATACCGATTCAGAGGGGACAGAGGTTAACTGCAGATGGTAAGCCAGTTTGCTCCAAGGACGAGCAGCATCACGGATGAAGGAACATTCTCAGAATGCACGACTAAACGCACATCTCCACAAAAAGCAGAGTTCCGCAACTGGTGGCCTACAGGCCAGATGCGGCCTGTGAAGGTTCTTGGTCGTATCCCACCAAACTATGTCCCCACTGAGCGAAATGGTTGCAGAGACTCAAGATATAGAGATGGGAGAGTTACGGACAAGAGTTAAAGATTAGCGAGATGAAAACGAGATAAATAGGAGAGAGAGCCATGAACACCGGAGACAATATATACAGATGAGTGAATTTACAGCGAGATGGAGAAACAGGAAGATTAGTGGTTAGGCATACCGACATTATGACACCTCGACACAATGAGACATCATGATATCTGTATATGTGACGTACGATGTCTCATTGCCCGCAAACACACGACATGTTCATTACGTGAACAATTTGGAAACATGTTTTAAGAACCGTGATAGAGGAATTTTGAACATTGTCTTGTTGGCTGGCCTATTTCTGCGTGTGGCTTGGTATAAACAAACCAGTTGAACTTTAAGCAAAATTTAAGGCAGATTGACATCGATGGCTTTGAAGAAGAAAATAATTCAGAACGATGAAGGTCCCTTTGTTCAGACAGTGGGACCGGAGCTTGAATTAGAGCAGAGGTCATAGGGGGAGAACAGAGTGACTCACCCCCCATATAGAATGTAGGACAGGGTTCTAAGCTATTCAGAGTTTTGCAATGAGCGTATTTATAAATCACATCGTCACACTCAATTACGGGCGTGAAGGTGGATGCGACAACCTGATGGCAAATGGATAGTGAGAATAGGTTTTTATTTCTGAATTTAAAAAACCTTACTTGATTGAAAATTTACGCTTGAGGCTTTGTGCATGTCTGTGCTGTAGTTGAGGTGAAAATCAAGTAAGGAGTCGGGATGTTTGTAGGCTTTAACATTCGTGGGGCTAAAGCCAGGGAACCCACTTCGGGAGGCTGAACCAAGATTTTGTTGCGTTCATCAGACATATTATAGTCCTTTCGAACATTTTTGAAATTCAGTTGCAACTTTGTCTGAACTGCACATCTCGATTATGCAGGTATGTATAAATAATCATCCAAGTAAATTTTTAAGTAAGTACATTTTTAGCCAACATTGGTCATGTAAATGAAGAACATGGGCCGGCCTATAACTGTATATTGAGCGACTCCCTTGGAGACTTGGCAGAAATTTTATTATATTATATTCATATTCTTAGTTTTTTCGGTAAAGTCACGTTGAAGAGAAACAACAAAATAACAAAATATATATAAAACAATAAAAAATTCTCACGACGTTTCGACCATAACTCAAACGGTCATCATCAGGATGATGACCGTTTGAGTTATATATATTGTTTTATATATATTTTGTTATTTTGTTGTTTCTCTTCAACGTGACTTTACCGAAAAAACTAAGAATATGAATTACTGCAGTCACGAAAGCTTTAAATCAGAAATTTTATTGTTTCTGAATTGTATGCATTGCTTTCTTCCCTTTAGGAGGTCGGGAAAACCAGCCAAGGGCCTTTTAGCTGACGGAGCAATCTTACAATCTCTAAATAAGAAAGGGTGATCAATCAGAGCACATGGGATCAAAAAACAACATAAATCAGACATCACATTGACTATTAATAAAAGTAAGTGGGGGTTGGGCAGGACACGTAACTAGAAAGGAAGATGGCCAATGTCACCCTTGAAACACATTCCTGCGGAGGGAGCTGGTAGGAACGTTGGGTTGCTCGGTCAATGGCCAGGGTCAATGGCGGCGTGGTGTATTCCGCAAATATGCCCGACTGTGAGGGTGGGCACAAGCCAGCGTGAGTAGGTTAAACGTTGAGTTTTATAAGGGCACCACGGGGTGACCAAGCCCCTTCCCACCCACCCCCCACCCAGCCCCTCCCCACCCTCCACACCCATCCCCACCCTCCCCACCCAGCCCCTCCCCACCCTCCCCACCCAACCCCTCCCCACCCAACCCCTCCCCACCCAGCCCCTCCCTTCCCACCCAGCCCCTCCCCACCCTCCCCTCCCCACCCTCCCCTCCCCACCCAGCCCCTCCCCACCCAGCCCCTCCCTTCCCACCCAGCCCCTTCCCACCCAGCCCCTCCCCACCCAGCCCCCACCCCTCCCATTTTTAGATGCACGACGGAAGGACACAATAATCCCCTGTGGGCTGGTGTAACCAGGAGGTTCCTACCAGTAAAAGAGCTTCTTAGCTCAATAGGCTATACTCGGAAAATAAACTTCTGATTCTGATTGTGAAATGGTCACCAGGGAGTTTAAGCGATGAGATTTGCTCGTGTGCAGGAGCGAGGCGATTTATAACATCGCAAGGCCACGAGGCACGGCGACGGACGACAACAAGCCTTCATTCAGCAGTGCATAGACCATGGCTAATGAAGATCAGGTCAGTTTCAGTTCAGTTTATTTTGGTATAGCCCTGTGGGCCATTCGGCTCTTGAATCGGGTGCAACCACAACAAACAACAAAAAAAAACACGAACAAGAAAAACATCTTAAAGTGTCTATGTGACTGTGCAAAGATGATGGTCAAATGCATCAAACTGCGTCAAACGCTTTTGTCAAGTCATACATAGCCCTGTTACGCCACACACAAAATATAGTGTTACTTTCGTGGCCATAATGATACTGGGACCTGACCTTAAAGCCTCGTCGCTTGGAATTTAAGATTTTAAGATTTGCGATACAAATCGAGTGCAAATTATCTATTTTTAATTTTACCAATTAAGGCCCACTGAGCTACAGAGCTCTTTCCAGAAGCGACCTGGCCACAAATGATAGCTCTACAAAAGCGGGTAATCAGTGCAAATTTATAGCAACCAAACACTCGAAACGCGTTTTTTCTAAATGTGAAGGGAAAACCGGAGGACCTGTAGATAAATCCATGCGGCCATGGGGAGAACATGCCAACTTTAAACATACAGGCATCGTCAGGGTCAGAATCGAACCCATGACCTTCTGTATAGCAGGCGAGGTAGTTAACATCTCCTAGCCACAGCAGTAAACCCTGCGGAATAACCGGCGACCACTGGCCCAACGCTGACAATGGAGATGAGCACCGCCACACTGCTCACTTGAGCAGAGACCCTCTCGAATTGATCTAAAATGC